TGTATTTGCAAACTTTTTTAAATGACTACCTTCTAAAGACATTTTAACATGGAAAACCGACCAGGCGCAGTGGCTCATACCTGTAATCCCAGCACTTTGGGAGGCTGAGGTGGGTGGATCACCTGAGGTCAGGAGTTCAAGACCAGCCTGGCCAACACAGCAAAACTCCCTATCTACTAAAAATAAAAAAAATTAGCCAGGAGTGGTGGCGCACACCTGTATTCCCAGCTACTTCGGAGGCTGAGGCAGGAGGATTGCTTGAACTCAGGGGGCAGAGGCTGCAGTGAGCCAAGATCGCGCCAGTGCACTCCAGCCTGGGCAACACAGTAAGACTCCGCCTTAAAAAAAAGAAAAAGAAAACATCTTCGTGTATAAAGGAGAAACCTCAATACATGAATACAGAAGCAAAAACAGCACAAATGTCAATAGAATATATGGCAAAAGAAATTTTTGAAAAGAACTTTATTTAGGGTCTATTGGAGGCAAAAACAAAGAAAGGGAGAAAGAGAACCTATAAATTAAGAGCGACTCAAGAGACATATAAGCTAAATACTATGTATGGATCTTGTTTGATTTCTAATCTGTAAAACCAAACATAAAAAGAATTTATGAGACAATGAGGGACTCCTGAATACTCACTAGCTGGATATTAATGAGTCATTAACTTTCATAGGTGATAATGGTTTTCTGTTATGTTAAAGAGGGGGTTGATTTTATCTTTTAGAGAAGCATAATGAAATAGTTATAGGAGAAATTACATCTTGTGTCTGCTTTAAAACACTCCAATAGTGAGACAGGGACAACAGATGAAATAAGATAGACCATGTATTGATAAATGTTAAGGCTGGGTGATGGGTACATGGGGTCCATTAAACTCTCCACTTTTATATATGTTTAAAATAGCCAATGATAAAAAATAGTTTAAAAGGTCTATTGGTAACTAAGCTAACAGTATATTTCTACTGTTTGTTAAACATGTGTTCAAAATTGAAAATAAGGAATGATCCTAATTCAGAAATCCCTTATCAGGTAGTTTCCATGATGTGGAAAGTCAAAGTCATGGAAAAACATTAACTATCAATTTATTATCAGGAAATTAGAAAATTCTTAGAATCTTGACATTAGCAAAGTCAGTAAACTAAATGAGTTACAGTGAAATAACCCACAACTCCACCACATTCCATTATATAGTCCCTTACTTTAAAAAAAAAAAGTCTAAGCAAAATGGAATACTTATCTATATTTTTAAGGTAGAAAATAAAATTATAGGAAAGCAAAAGGCATCACCATAAGCTGGTAAGTAATGCTGCCTTTTGAGAAGGAAAAAGTTGATTTTAAAAGACTAAGATATATGAAAATTTTAATAGAAAAACATGTGATTGATAGAACTATTTTTCTTCAGTAAGGAATTACTTTACAAACATCTGCTGTGAAATATTATATTGAAGTAGAACCAAAAAAATGTCTGGTATTGTCTTAAACATTTTTTCAACAAATATTTACTTTGTTAACACAAAGACATTAACCTTCAGAGTTACCTGAGTGTCTTCTATGTCTAAGGGAAAAATGGTTGCAACAGCTTTGGTAAGAAACACTACTGAAATTAAATCTGTTAATAATGAAATAAAAATGTAAGAACATAAAAACACAGAAACTATATTGAGATACTAGAAAAAAAGTGTGTTTTTTTGGACATCAAACTTAGATAATAGGTGCTGTAGGCTCTGCTGCTCACTTGCAAAGTAAAAAACTCTAGGCCTCAATTTTCCACCTCCAGAAGATGATACGTTAGTTTGTCTCTCTCTCTCTCAAGTCCCACTTCCAGAACCTACACTATCTAGATATTCTCTTTCTTCCTTAGTAAAAAATCCCTGACACTCCACAGAATACATGGTTGAGTAGAATACAGAATACATTTGCAACTAGGCATGACCATGTGATAAAGTTTTAGTGAAAGCGTCGTGTGTTAGCATCCAGATAAATCTTTTAAAAAAAAAAAACAAAACAAAAAAACAATGTGCACACCTTTTACCTCTTCTTCTCTGCATTCCAGACATTATGCTGCCAGGGATGGCTCAAACACTACCCATCTTGGAAATGAAGTTTTATCTTGCTGAAGCAACCATTAATTTAGGTTTTTGTTTTGTTTTGAGACAGAGTATTACTCTGTTACCCAGGCTGCGGGGCAGTGGCACAATCTCAGCTCACTGCAACCTCTGCCTCCCAGGTTCAGGCGATGTTGGTGTCTCAGCCTCCCATGTATCTGGGATTACAGATGTGCAGAGTTTTTCTGTAACTTGAAAACAAACTTAACCCTAGATGATACAAAACCACATTCTTACACTATGTTACCTTGAGATTAGTCAGTTACTCAACAATAAATTAGTAAATGAAAAATAAAATACTAGAAGGAAGCGAAAAATCACATACAGAATTTCTACCATATTCCTCCCAATTTCTAAGAGTGACAGAATGTAATGTAATGCTTTGTCATTGCTGTTTTTCCTTAACAGGGGTAGTTACCATTTTTAGTATAGGTAATGTAATTCCATACATTAATCATTCCCTCATTCTTTCATTTAGCAAATACGTATTAAGCATCCACTATGTTCTATGTACTGAAGTGCCTGCATAAGATAGAAAAGATCCGTACGTTGATACAGTTTACATTCTAGTGGGAAGGTGAAAAGTAGCAGATATTTATTGAGGGGGAAAAACATACAACAATTACCTATTCTTCCACTGAACATACCTACTCATCATCAAAAATATAAATCAACTATAAGTTCTTCCTTTAAAATGAAGGCTCTGAAAAAGAACCAGAACAATTTAACATTTGTTAATATTAGATCAACTGTTTCTATGAACCTTTATTTGTGAAGTAAGTGTTTTATTCATGTTTTAGTCCTCTATGGGAAAAATGAGTTTTGGAAGAAATTTAATCAAGGAACTGAAAAGCTAATCGAACCTACGGGAACATAGATAATCTTCTGGTCATGTAAAGAAATTATTGATCAGTCAACAAACGGAACTAAAAATTTTGGTGTCTAAATAAAAAACACAGAAAGCCAGATTATTAAAAGGCCAGAGAAATGTCTAAATCTGCTCAAATGTCAATAAGAAGAGATCTGTATTAAAAATTAATATTTAAGAATATTTGGTTGTAGATATGGAGATTAACGTAAATGGGCATGAGATGACGGATACGTGCTAAATGATCTAAGTACAGCACACGCTGGAGCTAGATTTCAAATCTAGCTAGAAGACATAATACAATGAAAAGCAGTATAAGCTGTACCAGTAAAGAAGAGCAAGTCACCTAAGGGTAAAAGAACAAGTCACCTACAACCGATGTTTTTGTTATGCACTGATGCATAGTGACTTAAAAAATAACGGTTTTAGTAATCTCCCCAATAGATCTCTACAGATCAGAAGAGTTACTATATACTTAACTTTCCATGAAAGGTGGTTTAGGAACTTCAAGTATGAATCTCTTGAATCAGATATTTCACAGAGTGACTTATGCAATGGAAAGCCATAGTGAAACATTTCAATAGAAACTATCTGTAGCAAAATATGCATATATAAGTTATGATACACTCTTGATACAATCAGCACCTATGCCAAAATTATGGCATAATTTAGGAAGAGAAAAATGTAAAATATACTGTAATACATATTTATGATAAAGTGTGATTATTCAAGTACAAGTGCTTTCAACTTCTACAGTATATTAAAGTGTGTTAATATTATGGGATTAAAGAATTAATCTATGATGGGGTATTCTTGAAATAAATACATCTGATTCCCAAAGGATTCAAAATGGTTATTACATATATTAAGATATCATTGTGCCAATATGCCTTTATACACAACTGTTGACTAAACCAGTAACCTTCATAATCTGCTGGTTATTGAGTATTTTTTGTAGAGCTGAATTGATGGTTGAATTGAAAGAAGCCCACGCATTACATAAAAGTATACATGTCACAAAACCTGGTGATATTACCTGTCAATGTTTGATCTCAACAGAAGATCAAGGACAGCAATTTTCTCTGAAAATGGGTCTTAAAGAACAGAGACTAAGTCTACTTAACAAATAGAAAACAGGTTCTTTCTAGAGTCCAAGATTTAGTACAGGGAACTCAACAACATCCTGAAGCTTTATGTACAATTCTGAGTACTGGCTTTCTTCAGAGTTTTGAACGAGTATGGGATCTAAAGACAGAATTAGTACACCTAGGAATGTGACAGTCTCATTGTCAGCAGAACAACTTCATAAGACCTTAAGTTACTCAACAGCAAATACCTGAATAATAGTAACTTCACTGCCATAGACTTACACACTAGATTTTCCTCCTCCTAAGGATGTTTCAAAAACAAAAAGGAAAAACCCTCAAAGGTGCCACCAAAACCCAAGAAATGTTGTTTCTAGAAAACTATATGGGATTTTTACATCGCAGTTAATACTAGAGGAAAATCATGAGACAGTTTCGGCATTAAAGAGAGAAGAGAATGACACATATTTCTCCGGATATCCCTTTATAAAACCTCCCATTCCCAGCCCCAATAACAAACTAAGTAGAACATCTCAAATATACTCTCGGAATCCTAAAGGTGAAATCCAAATGCCACTCCCCCCTGAGAGAGGCAGCAAACAAGTTTCTCCCAATTCCAACAAAGTGGGTAAAGCTAAGGCCTGCAATTAGAAATGAAGGATTCTGTCCGTCTGCTAAAATAAGGAGGGGGCTTGTCAGTCTTGCCTGATGGAACCGGAGGGGAGGGTGACAACAGAGGTTGCACAGGATAGGCCTCAGATCTTACTCAAGAACTGTAGCCCTACCAGATTGGTGCGGGCATGGGAAAACAACTCAGCAGCAGAGGTAGATAATGACGGTAGGACCTGAACCTCCTGGTGAGGAGCTACGTGGCATTAAGCAAACAGTGTTTCGTCTCCCTCACACCCTGTTTCCGCCCAAACCATTTTCCCCTTTGGTTACCAGTTGCTCCAGATGCCGTAGAGTAGTTCCACAAAAGCGAAAGAGAGGTTCAGGCACAGGAAGAAAAACAGGTTCCGGGACGTCTTGTCGGACAGGATAGACCTGGGAATGATACACGTGGAAAAGAGCCGGGAGAGTTAAGGAGGTGCCCGGACCCCGAGGCCGGGTACCCCTTTCAAGTTCCTCCCAGTTCACATGCTCCTTTCCTCACAGCTGGGGGTTGACGGGGAGTTTCCGACGCTCCCTCCCTGGACCTCGGGCCATCCTGAGGTCTGGGCCTTCTCCCTTTCTGCCGGACACCCCCTCCCCGCAAACACAGCACCCCGCACCTAAACCAGCCCGAGATCTTGCCGAACAGATTGAACTTGGGTGGTTTGTATTCATCGTCCTTGATGGACAGGGGCAACATCTTCTCTGCCCGGCGAAGAGCCGGGTCTACTCCCCTCTAGAAGTGGCTCCGTGGGGTGATGGCAGTGATAGTAGTGACGCCTCAAACGGGAATCCCCAGCGCTTGTCCGGGGCCGCGCGCCGCTGCGAGACACAGACAGACACAGACACACACCCGGGAATTCGCTTACTTCCGGCCCGGGCCGCGCAACGCGTCCTGGGACGGGAAAGGAGGGAGGCCAGTCGCGGGCGGGGCCTGCGCGACGGAGGGCGGGGCTTGCTGCGGGGGCAGGGTGGGAACGGTGCTGGAGCTGTTGGAGGAACGCCAGGAGGTGGCAACTACGAGGGGGTGTGAGGGGCTGACCTGGGGTAGAGTCCTGCCACCCGGACTCAGGAAGAAAATCCTGAGGTGGCGACCTGCAGACTGGGCTGTCAGGAGATGGAGAGCCCGCTCACGCCCACCCGACCGCCTACTACCAGTGTTCCCGGATGCATGGGCTCCAGCGCCTGCCCTTTCGCCATTTCCTCCCATTAAATCCCGGTGTAGTAGTTATCAGTGATTAAGAGTCTAGGCAGCCACGTGTTCTATTGCCGCCAGTCCGCAGGACACGCAAGTGATCGTTTTGCTGCGTTAACTCTATGGGCGCCCAAATCTTAGGAATCCATTCCACGCCACCCCGAAGACAGCGCTTGACCCTTCTGGACTGCCACGCAGGAGGCAATCAATGTTTTTCTTTCTTTGCTTATTTTTTTAAGAGACAGGGTCTCGCCCTGTTACCCAGGCTGGAGCACAATGGCAGGATCAAGGCTCACTACAGCCTGGAACTCCCGGGCGCAGGTAATCCTCCTCAGCCTCGGGAGTAGCTGAGACCCCAGGCGCGCGCCACCACGCCTGGCATCAATCAATGTCTTTCAAAACAAAGGCTGTTAAACGTGTTATAGAAAAGAAGCTGTTTAATGGTAGGTCCTACCAGACGTGTTTGTTTTATTTTTAGATTTGGTTAATGCATTGTTTCCCGTAAAATCGCAACCCACAGAAACCCGAAACTCTAGAATTCGTGCAGGTCCCTTTCGCTTCCAGGTCATCCTCGGGGCAACGGCCGCCGCTCTATCTTGTCAGAACTTCCAGGCCCAGTTTCAGCAACGTGCAGGCAGAAGCTGGCGCCTCGGTGGGATGCGAGGGCGTGCGGAGTGCAGGAAGGAGAGCCCCACTGGCCTTTTCAGGGCACCCGCGGTGGATGGGAACGCTCCTTCGGGCGCCTTTCCGGGAAGTTGTTTGGCTGAGGGCAGGTGGTCCGTCACGTGAATGATTAAAAGTTGTTACCTTGGAGAAGAAATGGGGGAAAGGATTGGCTTTCGGAGGTGGGCTGGAAACTACAAAACCGAGCTTCTTGGGAATGCCTTTTAGGCTAACAGGAAGTGGAGCGTCACCGAAAGGGAGGGGCGGCCACTCGGGGACTGTCCCCTGCTCCAGGCGCTCACTTTGCGGGCGGCGCTTTTTCCAGGTTGTTAATCCAGCGAATGGGGAAGGATAGATGCACGCTGCTTGGTTTAGGGGGAAAAAAAAAATGAGCGAACGATACGCCCCTTCCGTTTTGTGATAACCAAGCTGCAAGGAAATAAATCGGCTGGCCTTACTGCAATCTACTGCACTCGAGGTAAGGAGACACAGCAAAATGCTCCAGTGTTAATGGTTTGTTTGTTTTTTTTTTTGCAGTGAGGATATATGCATGTTTTGCTGTCGTTCTTGAAACTTTGTGTGTGTGTATGGGGTAGTAATTCTGTAGTTTTGTTTTTGAAAATATGTACTTATTCTACAATTTTGAAAAATGTTAATGTTAATTAAAACTGTGTAAAAACAGCTAGGTTTCAGAAGTAAGTTCTGGGAAGAGTAATTTGTCTTTGCCTTTGTTAGCATATATTTCATTCTTTTAATTTAAATGTAGAAATATTTAAAATTAGTAGCATATACTCTTTTTTTGGAAGGAAGTTTTTGTATTAGCAGTAGAGCGTGAATTTTACTCTACTGCACTGCTGAGGAAAAATTAATTAGGTGCAAACTGGATAGTTTAAAGATAAATAATTCTGTGGTAATTGGATTTTTCTCTAAAACGCCTTTATTCAATATGCTTTAACTTGGGGTAAAGAGCAGGAAGTAATAGATGTAATTAAATTTTAGCAACTGATTTCCAGCATAATCCTAACTCATCAAGGTCAGCTGCATTTTGAACTTTTTTGTATTCTGCCTTTGAAAATAAGTCCTATATTTTATACTGTATTGCTACAAATCAGAAATTGCTTAACTGGTTTATGAAGAAACCTACATTACCCGTTTTCAAATAGTTTTGAAACGGATACGAGAAATTGAAGTTTAATTTCAGTTACATCAGTTTCCAGAGACTCCCAATTCCCCCACTCCCCACCCCCAAAGATATATGATAGGTATTTCCATGAGGACCTTCTCCTTTCAAAAAGTGACAGTGATGTCTTCACATCTTCCAGTCTTGAAGAGCATAATGACCAAATTTAAAACTAAAGACATTTTATTTGCAATATAAAAGTGTGGGTGGACACGATTTAAATCAGGAAAAGTTCTCTGAGTGAAAAACGTTAGGCTGTCTCTCACTTCTTCTGTCATTGTGAAATAATGTTTGTCCCACATATGTTAACCTGTCTTTGCTGTCATATCAAATTTGTTTCTTTCACTCATTCAACAGTCATTTAATGAATGTCTTCTATGTGCCATGCTCCGTGCTGGGCACTGGGGATACAAAGCCAGATAAATTGAAAGTTATTTCCCTGGAGGAATTTTATGGAGAGAAGTTGTGAAGAGAGGGGGGTTGTAACAGGCAAATCAGTCCAGTATTTTAGAACTCTGTGATGTTTAAAATTTATACAAGGGATGTCCTTGGAGCAGTGTGGAGGGACAGCTATCACTAATGTGGAGGGACAGCTATCACTAAGTCTTTCTATATATACCAAGCCATTCCTTTTGCCCTTTCAATATGTTGTATTGGAAAATCAAAAATGATTCTTCCACTGTGTTCAAATGGTCAGTATCTTGCAAGTCACCAATCAGAATTCTTAATTCCTTTGTATGCTACAAGATTAAATAGGTTTATAAGATCATAACATACATATACTATTGAATGTTTTTAAACTAAAAAATGGATTTCTACCCTGAACTTTTAAATACGTTTTTATATCATCTCCTACCAACTAATTGCATTGGGTTAGCTATGCAGACTCTATGGGTGGAAAAACCCCAGCTGCTCAGACATGTGATTAGGGATTCTGAGAAATGACAACAGAGGGAATTAAGGGGCAGAAGCTCATCCCAGTCATGGTTCCAGCTCCTTTTGGGCAATGGTCAGCAAGGAATAGGAAAGATGCTATCTGTCATTCCTCAGTAATCAACCCTGGCATTTGTCTGCAACCCTATTTGACCCTTTTAGATGCTTCAGATTGAGTGCCCTGGGAACTGTTGGTGAGGAAAGAGTTGTAAAGGTACATAAGAATACAAATTCATATAAATCTAGAAATTGGATAAAAGTACAAATTGCTAACATGTTCAGATGTTTTGCTCCATGGCATACATCCTCTGGTTTCAAATGTGTAACATTAGATAGTTGGAATCGTGTGCATTTATTTTGCTTCCAGATCCTTGTATTAGGGTTCTCTAGAGGGACAGAACTAATAGGATAGATGTGTATATGAAAGTGAGTTTATTAAAAAGAACTACTCAAACGATCACAACATGAAGTCCTACAATAGGCCATCTGCAAGTTGAGGAGCAAGAAAGCCAGTAGTGGCTCAATCAGAGTCCCAAAACCTCAAAGGTAGGAAAGCCGACAGTGCAGCCTTCAGTCTGTGGCCAAAGGCCTGAGAGCCCCTGACAAATGACTTGTGTAAGTCCAATAGTCCAAAAGTCAAAGAACTTGGAGTCCGATGTTCGAGGGCAAGAAGCATCCGGTACAGGAGAAAGATGAAGCCCAAAAACTCAGCAAGTCAGCTTCTCCTGCCTTCTTTTGCCTGCTTTTCCTAGCCATGCTGGCAGCCGATTGGATGGTGCCCACCCACATTGTGAGTGGGTCTTCCTGAGAGTGGGTCTTCCTCTCCTAATCCACTGACTCAAATGTTAATCTCTGCTGGCAACACCAAGAAACACCCAAATACACCTATAAACAATACTTTGCATCTTTTAATTCAATGCAGTTGACAATACTAACCTTCACAAGTCCATCCCTTGTCAACTTGAACCCATACACATTTCTCGAAATCATACCTAATCTCCAAATAAATGAAACTGCCTTTGCAAAAATTGTAACTGAGGAAATTATGACAGTGAAAGATATCAAACCTAACCAACTCCATCTTGCTTCTAACCTCTAAACTGTCCTTGTCCATTCCTGAACATAAGCCAAACTAGCCTTGGGAAGGAATTTAGTTTATAGTTTAAATAATAGCCCTTCCCCAAAGCTAAACTGTTCTTGTAAAATGATTGAAAGGCTACCAGGCACCAAGTTAGGATGAGAGGGGCTGGAATTCTAAATATTACCAGCCATTATTCCAGAGGTCATAAGATTTGCAACTTTTCCAGTTACTCTTGAATATAACAACACTATTGTGAACCTAAGATTGGCCTTTTGAGATATCTTTTCAGGTTTTTGAATTTCTGATAACTGGATGGCCCCACCTGGACCTGCCAATCAGTTCCATGGCCCCCACCCTGGAGCTGACTCAGCATAAAAGGACAGCTTCAACTCCCTAAGATTTCATCCATGAGTCAACCAATCAGCACTCCCAACTCACTGACCCCCCTACCCAACAGATTATCCTTAAAAACTCTGATCCCTGAGTTTTTCAGGAGGCTGATTTGAGTAACACTAAAACTCTGGTCTCCTGCATAACTGGCTCTGCATAGATTACTCTTTCTCTTTTGCATTTCCCCTGTCTTGATAAATTCGTTCTGTCTAGGCAGCAGGCAAGGTGAACCCTTACATGGTTACATAAAAACAACAATACAGTCATAATTACACCTAACAATACAGCTATCCTTTATACAACTGGAAGCATACTAATCCTTAACCTAAATGCTATTACATAAAGTTAACAACACTTAAATGCTGATATGATGTCAATAAATGTCACATGATACAGGAAAAAGAGGGGAAATAAAGATATATTCTTAGTACAAGTGTATACATTTATAAA